CAAACATAATGAAGCTGATCTAATTAATTCAAATTCCAGCATGTATCCAGTCTTTTAAACATTTGAAAGTCAAAGCCACATCGTCAGGCTGACAACATAACAATCATTGTATTTGTGTTTAAAGCGCTGTATTTTTAGGCATTGATGAGCATGCAATTGAATTAAGGTTGCATCTGAGTTCGGTCATTAATTATTGGAGTGGCAGCCGACAGAAGAAGAACCCGCATTTATCTATTCAGCTTTTATAGACTTTGCCCTATTTATGCTTTTAATTAGCTGTCTGTGTCAGTAATGAATTCACACACCAACAAGGAAGCAAAGCAGCGGTGGTAGAGGGAAGCAGTTTGTTATTTTGGGACGGAGAGGAAAGGTTCATATTTACACTGAGGGGTATCAGCAGCTTATGTAGGCCACATATTACAGTGGTCTTGCCTTCTTTGTGCTTAACATTCAGTGCTGCAGCCCAGTGACTTCAGGTCCAGTCAGAGGAAACAGGCTGAACTGTTCATAGTGTCGGATTTGATTGCGAGCGCAGGTGGAAGTCAACTACAAGATGTGATTTCCACAGATACAAATTCAGAACATGTACCCAGGGCAAGAAAAACTTATTCTAAGCTTCTTTTTTTTTTCTATTTTTTTTTTTTTTGTACTTTCTGGTGCATTTGAAAAAGGCAAACTCCAGTTAAATCTCAGTTTCCAAATAGCTCTCTACACTCTCTGAGTCTTCTACATTAACTAGCTTCACTCAGTCCAGCACCCTGCCATGACATTAGCACCCATCCAAGCATAAAGCCTCTTAAAACCTACGTCCACTTCAGACATTTTCTAGAACACAGCTGCAGGATTGTGTGAAGTAGGAGTACGAACAAAGTAAATCCAGGCTTAAATATGTCTTGCTGTAGCAGCTCTTTTGTTTACAGGAATGTGCTGTATTTTGAGTGAGCACATTGTTTGTGTCCAAACAAAAGCTAATTGGAATGCGTACCGGCCCCCTTTAGGCAGCTGCTGTGCTGACAGTCAAACACTGGACTGTTGACTTTATTATCTTCGTCATTCTGTTGGGAGACTATTCCTGGCATCCATATTTTGTTTACGAAGCGAGGTGGCGTCCAGCACCCCAAGAGTGTGTATTTGTGTGTGCAGGTGTGTACATTTCAGATCCATGACCCTCTGCTAAGATGCTAACATACAGGCTGAGAATATTTCATGTCATGGTGCCCCAGGGGTACACATATCTCTTTGTCAACTAAGGACCTGCAATAATATTTACCCTGCATGTATCTGTGATGACAGGCCTCATGATTCTAGGCAGCCCCTGAAGTAAACAGTAGGAGGTGGTGAAGAGACAAGAGGAGAGAGAGGTATTGGGAGAAGAAGAGAGAGGGGTGAAGAGGACGTTAGAGGAGTTTCCCTGCAGGAAAACTGTTACAAGGAAACACCAGATGTTACGTCAAAGACCGCAGCCTCGACGTCATCTTTTTGTTATTGTTTTGATTGCGAGGCCCCGGGCAGCATCATTTGCAATACTGTGCGTTTAAAGGATTATTTTGTGGCTTTTTATGCCTTTTTATCTAGAGGCAGGACGGTGGATAGACAGAGAGTGTGGGGAAAGACTTGTCGCAGGCCAGATCTGAACCCGGGCCGCCCGCTTGGAGGACTCACAGCCTCCGTACATGGGGCGCTCGCACCAACCACCAGGCCGCCGGCACCCCTGCCTAATACACTTCTATTAGTGTCCACAGATGGACGTAGTCTGTTTGAGTAATGATGATGAAGAACGTCGCCTGTTATTGTAGGAACATTTCAACATCATATTTTAAATCAAACTGTGACTTCATTTTGGGGTGGGTGCAACAGGTATAGGTTAGAGTGGTGAAAGAGATTGCTGACACATTGTCTGATTTGGTCTTTTCAAGGGTTTAGCTGATAAGATATTAGGCAGGAAGGCGAAATTACTCTCCACATGTATCTAGTGTTTCATTTTTGACATTGTCTCAGCTCTTACATTAAGCCATCTGAGCTCATGGCATTGAACTTCCAGCTGACCAGTCTGCATCGTGCACATTAGACCATGCGTGCTATCATTTAAACTAAGCAAAATTAGTGTGTGTTCATTGGTTGAGGACTAGCATCATTAGAGAAGTAGCAGAGTTTAAATGAATGCGTGCATTTTATACACATAACCTATAGAACTCATGGTGACTACTGCTGTAGAGAAAAAATATTTGACATGCTCTCAGTTAATCACAAAAAAACGTTCGCTCCACAAATGGCTTCTTAATCACAGAGAAGCCTCTTTGAATTTATTTTTCTAGCTCTGGTCTCTGTAGACTCTGTTGAGTTCATTAAAGGGTGAAGCTGGAGAAGATCAGTCACTACTGTCTGTTTGTCTTTGCTCAACACCACAGGACAACATTTCTTTAAAAATGGAGAAAAAGAGGCTAGATAAAGCCTGTAAGAGGTGAGAGTACAGGATGGGATACATGAAACGCCCCTCATATTTCTGCTGTGCGGTTGGCGTCCCCAGCCATGTTACATGATTGATGCAAATGTTTTTTCTCACCAGTGTAAGACCTTGTTTAAGTTGGTCAGCGCTGTTGTATTACATACCACATTACTTATAGAGCAGTCAATTAGAAGCCATGTAGCATGCAGCCATGCATTTTAATGACATGAAAGATTTAAGTTGAACAAAGGTTGACACCTACAGGAAAAAAAGGGATGTGTTCGACCTCTGAGAGCTCTCTATCTATGTCCTTATGCTTCTGTTTCTTCTGCAGTAATTGTTTAGTTAGGCAGTAAAATGGAGCTTTTTTGTTCATTCTCCCTCATTACAGACTGAACTCAATCTATCCCTCTGCAAGAATGTGAGCCAGGGGGAAAAAGGATTGTGAGTGAAATAGACTGAATTGAAATAAAGTCAATTATCCAGATTCTATCCCACTGCAAGTATTTCAACAAGGTCTTGGTGAAATGATGTCAGAATGTAATCGTTTTTATAAATACTCTCCCAACGGTATTCCCCTTTATTTCCTACCTCTTTTATTTTCTTGATACGGTTTAATTTTGATGTTCTACAAGTTTCCATTAAAGATGTTCCAGTCAGTAACAATGCAGTCAAAAAGAGAGCAGATATCACCTCTGCAGACTGTTGGAAACATCTCTAATTATGTGAGTGTCTTAGAGCGTGGAAAAGGCTAAACACGGACACTGCTGAGAAATCCAGACAGTAGGATTAGCTATTTGGACGGACAGTGTTGTTCTGTCCAGTCTCTGTTGGTTTGATACGCATTCTGACGGCACAATAATGTGTGTGAGTCTGTGTGTTACAACTGTTTAGCAACGATGCTTTTCTGAATCATTTTGGTAGTACACATGACTTGCAAATTCTTCAAAATGGCTAAGACATACATGACAGACTGACATGATGGTCAAAAGTGTCAGGCAGCTGCAGTCAAGTACACATTTTTTGTTGTGTGAAAATTTGAAACATTTTTTTCAGCCTGCCAAGACTAAACAATTGTAAACAATTGTTTTTTTTTTTTTTACACCTGCAATTTTATTATTTTTGCAAACCTCTAAATTAGATTTCATTTGGCGTATCCAGCCAGCCATGCAGTATTTGGTTACAAATTTATTTCTCACATAGTAGAAACTCACGGTTAAAACTGAAGCTTATTATGCTTCAGTTATTCCATTTACAAGAATCCTGCTGGCGTTGCTTGAAAACATTTCCACTTTGCCTCTTACTGTATGTCTGCTTGTGTGTAGGCCGAAGTTGCTGCTCTGTGTGCTTGTCTGCTTGTCCTCTACGGTCACGTGTGTCTCGCCTTCCCCAACCTCGGGCCCAGCCCGGGCTCTCAGGAGTCATCCCCTGGAAAGGCATGACAGAGCCCCAGTGTTTGGAAATGGCTGCGCTGGCAGCGATAAGCAGTTCAAAGAAGAGAGCGCATTAATGTAATTGGCTGCCAGCAGCACATTGGCCTCGTCGTCTCATATCCACATGCGGTAACACACACTCACCACGCAGATTATTGGAGGGAAGTGTGTGAGAGAGGATATGGAGGCTGAGAAGGAGAGAATGGAGGAATAGAGATGAAGGAGAGGACAGATACAGAGAGGGGAGGAGGTCCTCATTGTGTCGCTCATTAAGCCGTGGGAGGCTCGGGGAGGCTGAGAGATGAGATGAGAGGTGTCAGAGTTAAATGTCAGGTCTGGAAGGGACGTGGCTGACCTCCATGAAGCCTACACACACACTGACACACACACACACACACACACACACACACACACACGCACACACACACACACACACACACACACACACGAGTCCTCAGCCTCACATTATCCCCTTCAACTTCTCCTCTTCTCCTCACTCCTAAACTCCTCTCTCTCTGCCACTCACCTAGTTTCACCCGCTCAATTTTCCACCCATTACACCCAAATTACTGGTGTCACTGCAAATTGAATTGTTGCAACCGGATAGCAGCATTTCCAGTGTATAGCCCCGTCCGCTACCTACTGCAGTGGAAGTGAAGGCTATTTCCTTCAGCTAATTTCCAAGTCTGTGTGATGGCAGGCACAAAGGAGAATGCCGGGTGGCTTCCTCCACTGTTATGAAATGTTTTCACCAAAGGCTGTGAGAGGCTTTGAAGTTTAGAGTCTCTCCCTTGTATTTCAAACATTTTCCTCCTCTGCCTCCTTGTGAGTTCTCTGCGAGCACTTCTCAACAAACTTTCTATTTATTTTCTTCTTTTTGCTACTGCTGCATCCTATAATCTTGCTCTAATTTTCATTGTCAAACGCAGCTCCTTCACCATCTGATCCTGAGATATCATCTGCCCAATCTTTCCCAATATGAGTAATCATGCACACGCAATTGCAAGAAAAGGAATTAAAAGTGATATGTATATTTTTTATTTTGCTGGGGGTAAAACACACAACATTTGCAGTATCAACTGCCAAAACACAAAATCTTTCTTTTCTGTCTTTTTTTCCAGGTCAACCCTTTAAGTTGGACCCAAAGACCGCCCATAAGAAGCTGCGTCTGTCCAACGACTGTCTTACCATGGAGAAAGATGAGAGCTCACTGAAGAAGAGCCACACCCCGGAGCGTTTCAGCGGCACCGGCTCCTATGGCGCAGCTGGTAACGTCTTCATTGACAGCGGGTGTCACTACTGGGAGGTGCTGCTTGGAGCGTCCACATGGTAAGAATCATGCACAGTGGTGCGTTATATAAGCCTGGAGGAGGCTTGATAAACCAAAATATCTTTCTTTAGGGAGTTAAAAACTAGGCTGTTATGAAAACTCAAACTCATAACAGACACACCACACAGTGTGTACACTCTTTTACTATTTATATTCTGTTCACTAATTGGCTCTGAAGTAGACCTGTAGGAAAGACCCAAAGGGGCTTGCCTATCCTGTGTGTCCTCAACATCAAGTAAGTTTAACTGTTCAAGTAAAGTTATTAAGGAGGACACCACTTTATGATGACTAATGCATTCCAAAATGTTTTTTCCCTGCAGGTATGCCATCGGCGTGGCTTACAAATCAGCCCCCAAAAATGAATGGAGCGGCAAGAACTCGTCCACATGGGTGTTCTCACGTTGCAACAACAACTTTATGGTGCGCCACGACGGCAAGGAGATGCTGGTGGAGGCGAGCCTGCAGCTCAGGAGGCTTGGTGTCCTGCTGGACTACGACAATAATTCACTGTCCTTCCATGATGCAATGAACTCCCAGCACATCCACACCTTCGAAATCTCCTTCCTCCTGCCTGTCGTACCCACTTTCATGATCTGGAACAAGTCGGTCATGATTCTCTCAGGGCTGCCTGTGCCCGACTTTGTCGATGGTGTGGCCACAGATCTTCAAGAGCAGCAGCAGCAACAGATGGGCTTGTGTCGACAAGACTCGCCATACTTGACGGGGATGAAGTCCTGCCACTGAGGAAGGCCCATTATGTCCTAGCGGTGTCCAATCAGGCCCCGAGGCTGAAAGACATAGACAGTGTGACAGAGTTCTGCTCTCTCCTCTGAATTGAGAGTGGACCAGATACTTTCTTGTGGATTTAGGAAGTGTTGGAAATATACACAGCAGTCTGGGAAAGTGTCAGTCCTGTTATTTTGTAGCATCCAATGCTTTACAAATCCATTATTGAATGGGAAAGAGGGCTCTTGACTGTAAATGTCAGTAATCCTAAAATACATATTATGCTCTGGAGTCACAACAACACGTTCTTATTGGCCATTTAAGGTCTTCAAATTTAAATTTAGTTTCTTTCTAATCTGACCCGTCCGATGGGGACTGTTGTTGTCATCTATTTACAGTTTGAAGTTACAACATGTGAACAGTGACATCCACTTATACCTGACATGTGAAATAATCAAAATCAAAGCGTATTACAGAACCATAAAAATACAGTAATTAATCCACAAACTACTTACATATTAGTTTTAAAATCCATACATCTATCTCAACTGTGTTACGCTATGACAAAATTATATACAGGCAACAATTAATTGAGAAGATTGATACTTCTTTCAAGCTTGGACATTAGCTTGGTTAGCTAAGCATGGCATAAAAAGTCAAAAGTGTTTAGTCTCATACTGTAGTTCCAGCAGATTACTTCTCATAAAGTTAAAGTTTTACTACTTTGATTGATTAGACAAACACAATATATCCACTAAATTTGAGGGCTGTTAAAAGGTATACTCTTTGACTCTGTTTCTGCTTGTTTCCGATGCTGTTAGCTGAGCCAAAGCAGGCTAGGTACAGATGTGAAAGAAAGAAAGCGTTGGCCATTATCCCAAAACAACCTTTATCCTTTACATGTACAAACTCTATAATGTTGGCTTCATGCTAACGCCTCACTAAAGCAAACGCATGCTAGCTGTGGACTCTTTGTGTTTCATTACAACAGGATACTTCTGATGTCACTGTTCACGCAATGTAGCCTCAGTAGCTGTAAGTGGTCATTGCTAAAGTATTTTCTTTTAACTTCTTTATAGATTTGACGCAGCAGTCCTGTTTGTTCTGGTTGGCCCCAGCTTCTAAGTTTCAGAAATTGCTAATGTTGCTCCCAGGTGACCAGGGCATCATGTGACTCCTATAGACATGTATGATAAGAGATTTATTAGAGATTAAAGAAAAATGAGTTATTTATGACAAAAGATGGTTTACTTATATTAAAAGTCTCAACATATTCATGATGCACTTTTTAACTACAAACTATTTCCCCTCAATGAGTATGACGGTAATAGAGAGAGGTGGCAGGGATGTAATGTGGAGGGAAATCGACAAGTAGCACTTCTGCTGGTTGTTTTTTCTCCTATATAAATCTCCACCTCAATTTTTTCCTACTTATATTAAGAAAAATATTTATGGTCAATAATTAATAGTTACTAATTACTGACCATAAAATGCAATAACACACTGTTCAAATTTTATTTTATTCATTTTTGGTAACACCTAACTTAAAAGCACTTTGTAATAAAACACAAGCCCCTGCTGTAAAGTTAAATCAAATTATTCACTGTGCTTTGAACACAATTAGTGACTTTCTCTCTCTGTTGCTATTTTTTCATAGCATATAGTAAGTATATCATGTGTAGTGAAGGGAAATCATTCTGATGATATCATCTGATTTTCATCATGATGAACTTAAAGATAAAGTTATAGCTGTTCATCAAAAAAAAAAAAAGTTCACTCTGATGTCGACAATTCAGGGAAGGAGGGAGTTCACACTTTAACTTGCTGTCTGTTGCAATGTCATAGCATGATTGTGTTTCCCTCTGTGATTTGTTAACAAACACACATGCACATGCACATGCACACACAAACAAACATATGTCATGTTTTTCTTTAGCCAGCCCTTGTTGTGATAAATGCATGGAACATTGTAGGATGCCACTGGTTCAATAGATGATTTAAATAGCTCACCAGATCCAGTTTTTCATCTCGTACATTAACATTCGCTAACAACATACTTGACCTCAAGCTCTTTTTGTCACTTTCAAAAATCAGCCTTTATAGCTGGATCCATTTTTTTTTTTTTATTAAGAGTTGGTGTTCCTCTTTGGTTTGATGTTCAGGTAGTGAATCTGATTCAGACAATCGTATATGTATCATAGATTTGAGATGTGTGTAAAAGAAAAGAGTTGGGGTAAAACAGCTGTTTTACATGCTTTTTCTCTTTCATTTGACATGAAAAATTCACACCGTGTTGCCATTTTCACCATTTCTTTACACTATCACATTATGTGCTTAATGTCTAATGTCATGTTACTCTAAAAATCCGCAGACAGGCTTTAGTTAGCTTGACTTAAAAATACAGTTTTACTCGGCCAGCCCACTTTGAGTTCAGTCATTTTCTGGACATTGTTACAGAGTGAAAGCAGAGATCCAGTGATGAAAAAAATCTTAAGCTACTGAAGGTAGTAAAAGTCTTACATGGCATGGCCTCCCCTTTGTATCTTTCCTCTGCTGTGTTTAAAAAGGACACCTTTGTGATATGTCTCTCTCAAATTGTTTGATGGCAATAATAGCCTGAGTGTTGCAGGCAACAGAAATACTCCCACTAACAGGAGAAGCTCTACTACAAGGGGAAGTACTTTTTCAATATGTTACCTGACTTCTAGATAGCCACTCATCTTGTTGCGAAATGTCGGTCACATGCTCAAAACAGCCGTGTGTTGATTTGTGATCCAGGCTGACAAGCTCAACTCATCTGTGCGATGTGCTTGGCTGGGTCACTGCATGATTATGTGACCTTGCTGCAGGTTCATAACTCTTCCTGATCTTCAGGATGGGGGCTCTTATCTTGTGTCGAGCATATTCTCCTTTTTTATTCTTTTTGTTTTCTGATGGAAAAAAATAACCATGACAAGAACACTCAGACAGGAAATGTTCATTGCCATGCATATCAGATAGTTTTGCAGTGCTCTTTCTTTGTGTCACCATGCAGTCAATACAGGTAAATATATACAGTGAATGATTTTCAATAGCTTCCCACTCCTTGTAGTGCAGTGTAATACCCTAGAGACAATGCAATAGATCCTTCTTTTTGATTTTTCTGTTTGTGTAACTTGGGAAATTATTTTTTACAACTCATGAGACAAACTTTCTTCTCCTTTTGGCTTTTGGACCTTGATAAACAGCACAAAAAGAGCAGCGTTGCGTTCATGCAAGGCTTTCTGTTTCCATGGATATGAGCGATACTTTAAGCCAGAGAGAAATGTAAATCATATGGGGAAATCTATATTATATAAAGTTGTATAATATACAAAATATATATGAACCAATGTTATTTATGTGAATTTAAGTCCAATTAAAAGTCTGATCCCAAATGTGTTGGAGTCAATATTCTTTTACCCGGCTGTTTTTCTCTTCGTATGTTTTACTCTATTTAGGCCGACTTGCACAATTAAAAATAAAATTAGGCCTTTGTAAGATATCAGCAGCTGAAGCAGAGAGTTGGTCATGTTACACAATTAATTCAAGATACAAGATATATGCTACAAGTCATTAGTTTAATACTTTGTCATAGTCAATTTAAAATAATTTAATGCACCACCCAGCAAGTCGGCGACGCGAAGTGATACAAATCAAACACGCCCACTTTAACCAACAGGTGTGCATGCTGGGAAAACAACAGCTTACTATGGTAGCTGAGGACCCTCACGGAAATTTCTTAAGTTCAGTTAAAAACTTTCGCCTAAAGACCCCAGCGAGGTTTCTTGTGGGTTTTCTGCTGTTCAAGACTCAAGACTGTGTCCGTCGAGAAGGCTTGTTGTCATTCTGCTAAAATGTTTGGAGACGTCGACGTCCGCAGTGGGGCAAAGAAGCTGAGTGTGTATTATGACAATACAGCTGGAGGAGGAATTACCAACAGGTAGGCAGTAGGCTACGTCACTCAAATAGGCTATAATATGCTAATTTGTAATTATTTACCTGCTCTTTAAGTTTGATCCCTTTCCTGGTAAATTAGCTACACTGAAGAAAGCTGTTTGATAGTCTTAGATTGATTATCACCTGACAGTCAGGCTACATAGTGCCTACTATAAATCTTTTTTTAGTTTAGATGTATAGCAGGTCTATGGTAGTAGGTTATGTATAATTGCTTAGTGGCATTTTTCCTGTAGCTTAAATGTTTTGTAATTTAACAGAAGCCATTTATTTAGCCTATCACAATATTCATTTACTGACTACCTCTTTAAAAACTAAAGCAGGGATGTTTACTAAGGCTGAATTTATACTGTCCAATTTTTTTACTATGATCAAAGTCCTTCACTTTTATTAAGATGTCATAGAACAATGTTTATCAATTCAATGAATCCAAGTTAAGGTAAATTCAACTGTACAAACAAGTGATAGCTAAAATGTTGTCCAAAGACACGCAGAGGTCTGGTGGCGGTAGAGTTTGATTGAGCAAGAAATGGTTGTTTTGAAGCATTTAGTGTAAAAAGACAGACACCGACACCTCTTATGCATCTGAACTATGCTTTTTAGCATGAACACTGACTTTAAAATGGAGCCTTAAGCTTGCAAAAGGCTGCACGGCAAGGCCTTGGATCAGTAAACTGCAGAGTGCGACTGGTAGGTCATCGAGAGCTCAGGGTGGAGTTTGTTGGGCTATACCCTTTTAGTCCTCATCTGTTATCACTGGCACAAGGGTCTCACTACTACAACATAGTACTGTAGAGCATGAGTCCCAGAACTGCCTGCGAGCATGGCAAACACACACACTGACCCTGAAATAATGGCCAATATGCTCACTGATTTTGTGGCTCGTTTTTCTATGATGCACAAGGGGAAACAGGAAAATCTTACACTTAAAGTATAATTGATAAGTATGAAAAATTACATTTGTGACTATAGAAACATGTTCATAATATCACTCTGTCTTGCATATTAGGAAAGGACTCTTCATCAGCCCAGGAGTATTCGCAAACATGGCAGTGAAACCTATCAAGCTCCAAGGTTAGTGCTGCTCACCTGACCCTTCACTGCTCTGCCTGCTGAAAAGATGAATTGTCTCCCTCAGGGATCAATATTGCTTCACACACATACATCGCACCCATGACCTGGGATAATTCGATCCAAAACTGTCCTAAAGCCAGGGAAAAAAAACTGCTCAAACAAATAATTTGTCAAAAACCAGTCTAGGATTCTGGAAAAGTTTATTGAGTTTCAAGTTTTTCAGTGGAATTAACCCCAAAGTCTGCAAACAGTGATCACCACAAAAGTTAGAACTGACCAAATCCTTTGACTTCCGCAGATTGATGCTTTTTAAGTACGGATGACTTTGAAATTGAGTAGCAGCCTTAATTTCTGTTACAAGGTTCTATAGCTGGGAGCAATCCAGTCACAACCCATAATCTTCCTCCCTTTAGATCAACATTTTTTTTAAAGGTTTCAGGAAAAGTCTCAGGTAGATTTCAAACAACAATGTGTTTCTTCTGTTTCCAAGTGTGGGTTCACAATGATAGATTACAAACCTCAGTCCATTAACTCAATGCAGTCCGGTCCACAAGTCGGAGTCTTCGGGGTTTAATCAGAGGCTTTTCCACCCTCCATGTGTGACTGATTGGCTGGCGGTAAATGTGATGCTCACTCTGTCTCTGCATCCCTCAAACTACTAGCCAGCTAGCAGGCAAGCCATCGGAGGAACCCATAATTACATTTCTAATTGCAGAATAATTAGGACTTCCTGTGTAGCTCGTTAAGTCATTTGTCACTGAAGCCTCTAATGTGACAAACAACAACTCTCTAATTACACAGAATGAAAAGTGTACATGGGGGGGAGCATTTCCTAACAACCAAGAGCCTGAGTTTAGCCCAGAATAGTTCCCCCATTTACTTCTTCATTCATACTATTATTATTATTATTATTATTATTATTATTATTGCGTATTGAAAAAATACTGTACTTTTGATGTTACAGCTCAATGAAAACCTCTTATTTCATATATCGTGTGTATGTCTGTTCCTGACTAAAAGTTGTACATTTGGCCTTACTGCTTTCTCTTAACTTTGAAATACTCCAAGCTAAGATAACTCTTCTTTTCAGAGGACAATGAAAGATGAATAAAGCGTTTTATCATCAGTAGGCAAAAGATAGATATAATCAAAAACTTACCTCAGGTCACAAAAAACAGTCCCTACAACTCTTCAACTCAGAATACAACTAGCAAAAGATTTTTAATCAAATATAGCGGTTTCATAGCCAGATCCCCAGACAGAGCATTTGTTTTCTATGATGCTCTTGATGACCTTGTCTTGAGGTACTGTCGGGTCTAAAAGGGCAAAGAGTACCTGACTTTAATTGGTTTTAAACTAATTATTTAAACGTTCAGCCACTTTTATTGGACTTGTTTGTATCTTTGCTGCAAATAAAATGTCCCCTCAATGGACCTGTCAATCAGCAATTAATGCAAGAGCAACAAAAATTCACTGTCAATTTTATGTAAAGTGTTATTGCTGTCATCTGCCTGCATAGGCAAAGTGTTTAGATCAAAAGTTTTCAAAGTCCAGCTTTGTTTAACTCTGAGTGTCATGACCACACATCCCAGTGCTGCTCTTTGACAGAATGAGCACAGAATCCAAAACTGAGGAAGCTGTCAGATTGCTATGCGCAACTTAAAAGTTTGACTTCAAAACAGTTTGACGAGTTAAGTGACACATGAAATAACATCTTTTAGCAAATACGTCTTTAAATTATCATTTCATTATTGATTCTATTGAGGTTATCAGTGGAAAAAGACCCAAATGCCTCTGGACTCCATAACTTATTCGTCACATTGCGGTAGGAACATTAGTGAAGAGTCCACTCCACAGTGTTTTTTATAATAGACAGACATTTGCGTCGACCTGACAACCATTATTATTTTTATAAAACTGCCGTCCAGTTCATTTAATACTGACACAAAGGCAGATTCTGATTTGTCCTAAATCTGTGAGAGCTACTTGTCCTTCATGAAAGTACCTCAATGGCACTCAAACCATGATTCAAATAATCAGTTATGATTGGCCGACCTGAGCAAGGAAATATGTCTAAACCGGTGAGGACATAAAAAATATAAAAGAGAAAAACAAACCTGAGCTTGCAGGTTGGTGTATAGGCTGTTCTGTTACTGAGGCAGTTATTGCTGCCAATGCTGCAAGTTCTCAGGAAGTGTTTTTACAAAATTACAAAGTTTAAATGGCTCATTCCAAGCAATACGTTTGATACCTCCATAAATCCTAAAGAGGAACAAGAACATTTGTAAATGCAGAAAGATTGCTGCCTTTGAAACCAATTCAGTCTCCACAATTTAGGATTGGCATCTCTTCTAAACCTATTGATCGCATGGGAAATTGTTCATGCTATTATATGCGGGGCAAAAAACAGCCACAATGTCATTAATCTATTTAATCACTTTATTGGCTTTTCAATACATTACCTCTTCTGTAGGAAATAAGTTAGACTGTGGTTAATCTTGTAGCTTTTAAACAACACATTTTCTTCTTTTTTTTGCCTACAATAACAGTGTCATTTCTATTTAAATCACAGTAATTCTACCCCCTCCACAAAAGCAGACTGATTTTTCATCAGCTCTGGTTCACCATCTGTGTGGGTTAGTGAGGTGTCATTGCAGCAAAGGTCTGTCAGAGCTATAAATGCACAGCTGGATATAATGAACTGCAAATCCGCAACATGCTCCTGGCCCTGTCACACCAACACACACACCCGCTGTACCTGCACCCACCTGCACTGGGTCAAAATAAGGCCTCATTTCTTTAACCATATGCTTTTTAGGAGATAATTTAAATCTGTCAGAATAAGAGGTTATCAAGCTTTTAAATGGGTGGTTTTGACAGTGTGTGTAGGAGTGTAAGAATGCACAGTCCTGCATGTGTTTTCGGTGTGTATTCATGACTGCGTGTGTGGGAGTGTTTGTCTCATTATCAGGTGTTTTATTTGACTTCGCTACATATGCAGGTATTTAACCTTTGCTTAAGGACATTCTCGAGAGACTTTTTTCCTTTTCCACTGAGCATATGGAGCATAAAAACAAAGAGATCAACACAACACAATCAAGATAATCAATCAAAGATGAGCAAAAGAGAAAACGCAGATCAAAGTGAAGTGATAAAAATGAGTTGCCTTTTGGACCTGTTTCGGCAGCCTTTACCTTTCCTTAGTGAGGATGAATTAGACCACCGTGGAGGAGCGAGCAAAGGCTTGGCTTCCTGCCTACAGGTTGATGGAAGAGAGCTATGAACTCTGGGAAATAAGGATCTAAACAGGCTGTAGATCACCGGGCCCACTGGCTCTGTCTCAATCAGAGACTGTCTCTCTGAAATACCCAGAGACATACCTACACTCACACTGCACACAGTCAATATCTAGATTAATCTCTGAGGACGGAATCAATCAACCAGCCCGGTGGCGTCTCAGAGAGCCCTCGAGGCTTGATAGTCCTCCTGAGAGAGAGAGCAATATGTCCAGGTGCTTAAAAATATCTCAGCAGAAATCTCTACCTTTCCGTCTTTCCCTATGGAGATGACAGGGCGTTAGTCTCATGAAGATAAAGTTACCCTCACACAGTTTAAGGGTCAAACTTTGGATGTCAGTGTTATTTCGTTATCCTCTTAACTGTTAGCTAAACTGCTGCTATCAACAACACTGGCAACTGTTTGGTGAGTGTTCGCTTGAAAAACAAACAAAAAAAAAGCCTACTGTACAGGTGTTTCCAGGTCGAATGTTAGCATGCCAATATTTTAGTAGCTTAGTTTGTAGCTATATAGTTAGATAATAAAATGTTTGCAACTGTTTAGTAATCTCCCATAAAGACAGAAGATAGTATCGGTGTGTTGGCTAACATTAGCATGTCTTTTCTGCTTTGTTGATTTTAGAAAGGTAGCCTACCCTCCAGCAACTTCGTCTCCTCATGGCAAAGTAATGAAGTCATCCCAAGTTCCCATCTCCCCCAGGGCTGCTGGTAGATAGCCAATAGGTAGGAAAACACTGGGCAGGCTAGCTACAGCGGCTAACTATTTAGTTTCTATTATGTCGAGCTTTGTTTACAATTCACAAGCCTTAATTGTCTCCATAAAGTCAAATGAACAACATGTGTTAAATGTGCCATAATCATTAAGGGAGGAAGAGGAATACCTTAACTGCTAACACAGAAGAAACATTGTAGACTATTTCTGTTTAAAAGACTAGAAAATAAAAAATAAAGGTCAGAGGTGACCAACTGTAGCTATAAAGATAGCTTAATAGGTTAGCTTACCAAAGCTGATGAAATCAGACAGAGATGTGGTTGGTGGCTTAAGAGGTTTGTAATCAAGAAAAAGATGTCTACTTCACTGATGGGTTCATGTGATCTAGTTGTGTTCATTAGATGTCTGAACGGGTTAAAATGATTCAGCTGTCACTTCCACATCATTTTGACAAATTTCTACTATAGAAAAGGGAATCCAAAGAACTTCCCAGTCACCCCAGCTTGAAGTCACTGTGCTGCATCGCCTTTGACCAAGCTGTCCTTAAGATTGAGTGCTACTATTTGGATGAAACAAACCAGAAGAGATTTTGGTTTAGCCTGAAGGATTGTCTCAGAGGAGCTTTTCATCATTCTTACAGCCACTTTCACAGGTTAATGGATGAAGAAAATGAACTCTGGACTTTCTTGCTGAGGAATTGGCGGAATTTGCATTTTACTATGCCTTTAAAAATTGATGGTTTGAAATAATTATTGGCAAAGCCTGCATTTGTGAATGTATGTATCCCCAGATAGATTTAGACTGATTTACCTATCAAACGTACATTTTTTTTCTTTGAACTATTCCCCCTAGAGCAACCTGGGTATAGGGGGTAAATGTGGACTTAGATCAGGTTTAGTCAGTAAAAATGAACTACTATGACGCAGCGTTTTTACAGCAGGTCCACTATAATCAGACCCCTTTCGTTTGACTTGTTGGGCCTACAAGCTCATAAACACAGTGTTAGTGACTACATTATCATTGATTAATCAAAACGTCTACAGTGCTCATCCCCTAGGGAGGGATCAGAATCAAAAGAAGATGCAGCTTGATAATTCAGTTAAGTGAACCATGTTGACTCTTTGATCCACGCTCATCTTATCATTGAACCAAAACAGCCATCTCCGTCTCATGTAAATGGTTGTCTGTGTTATCCTTAATATCAAGATGTCTCCTCACTTGTCTCTCTCTGACTTTGATATTTATCAAGCAATCTCTCACGCTGATGGAAGCCCATTAGTTGCAGACGGTTTCAGGCTGACATGTTGATTTAATTGGATACAGCTTACAATAAAAATAAGCGTCCTTGACCCATGCACCCGTCTTGTCTTGGTACGACAAGATAGGGATCGCTAATAGGGATGTTCTGTGAGGGCAGAGGAATAATAAAACAGTGCAGGCATGAAGGGAAACCGTCAGAATATATTTATCAAACCGCATGTAAAAAGTTTGCGTTTGCTTGCCATTGGTACATTGATTTTGAAACTTTTGATTACAGCTTGCCAAACAACAGCAGGTGGCTGCTAAAGAATCATCTGATGCCCTACTTAATCATCCTGTTACACATGGGAAATAATATCAAGAACGATTTGTAAACGGTAATATTGCATTCATACTGATTACAAATGACCTAGTGCAATGTCAAAGGTGTTGGTTGTTGTGGCAGTAACAGAAAAAATAAAAACTATTGCCCATCTATGCCTGTACCATCTTTCTGTTCATTGTTCAGTTCATTTCACTTCACTTCACTGTTTTGGTTTATTGTCAGCGCTCTCATCAGGGTTTATTTTCCAGCTGCTTACATTTGGGAAAAAAAAGCAGGGATAAACACAGAATCAAACTGACGGGTGACACAGGAAACACTAGCTATGGAGAGATTGGAACAGAAACTTTCCTCAGGAGTTTATTTAGACAAACCTTTAGATTCAAATTTAATGTGATTAGACAGAAACACCCAACCTGGACATTCGACATGCAGAGATTAAATGATTCTCATCAAAAGTCTAGTTGAAATAATGTTTGGTATGTCTTGTATTTTGGGTCTGAGCAAATATCTCCATCTGCTTTTTCAAAATAAGAGAGTAATACAATAAATAATAATAAACCCAGTGAACAGCTTTGTCTGACCCATGACAGTGGTGGGGATTTGAAAAATTGTCACATAGGAGGACAAGGACTTAAGCGTTGCTGTGACAGTTTTATATTATTATATTATGGGGGTTTTTTGACAGGATTTTTATAATAAGAAGTCACTATTTTTACATAATCTTGCAGGCATTTTAGCTGAAGTAGTCTTTGTCCAGCTGCTTCTTTCTTTTATGTGCTTTATGAGGCTTTCCTTCTATTTGTACCCAACAAATTCAAACATGGTTACATTTGTACACACTGCACTCTACTGCCAGAGTGGAATCAGTAATCACATCAGTCGTGATCAGTGATCACATAAATTAGACCGCCATCCTTATTTTTTTCACAAAAAGGATGTCCTCACTGTTTCTTCCTCTCTCTTTCTTTTCCAAGCCATGAACAGCAGGCAGTGTTGTTCTCCTCCGGCTGCAGCAGAACCCCACGCATATCCACATCAATAGCCCCCCCATCTACCTTTGATGTCCTATAAATAGCTAAGCCTCTCATTCTGATCACAATGAACCTTGGCTTGAAGATCCCTGCTAGAATCCTGCCTGCTTTATTTCTGACTCTTATTCACTCTGTATTAAATGGAGCTTAAATAGCTGTTTTCTCACAGCAGTATACAGTAGCATCTGGACAGTGCTCATCAACTCTTGATCCTCACACACAGCACTGAGACGATGATATTATATCACACTGTGTAACGGACAGTGAGGTGAGGAGAAATGGGCCAGCAGGTCACTTATGGTTCAACTGGCTTTTAACCAGTTCTAATTCTGTCTGCTCTGCAAAGTCCTCCACACATGCAAAAACACATCCACAGGGTGGAGAATTGGCAGCTTTCATCAGATCTGTCTGCTGACAATTCTTACCAAAGCCAGCATTGAAATGTCATCATATGAAGCACATGAGCATGTTATGTATCCTGTGTTGTTCACGGCCTGGTAACTGTGCACTCTGTTAGATCAGTGGTCTACATCTTTTCTGTGATGCAGAAGACAGAGATGGGCACATAGGAAGATAGGAATCTGGACAAAGGAAAAAAAGAGGATGTGTTGGGCTTTGACCCTGGCTCTCACTCATTAGTGGTCTTTGAAGGTCTTGCTGTGATGTGTGAATTATATTCTTAGGGTGTAATGTACACGATGGTGTAAAAAGCTGAGTGTGTAGAAGAGTATGTCAATTAAAGGTGTCATTTAGTTTAAATAATAATAAAAGGAATCAAAAGAAGGACTTTGAAGGTTATTGTTGTTCTAAGTTCTAAGGGTTCAGGCAGGGAAGGAAGAAGGTGACATCTTCCTCAAGCAGTTCATGGGCATTTTCTTGCAAATTCTAGTAGATACACAACCTTGTTTCAGTTTTCACAAATGTACAGTGAATCTTGTCTTTGCTCTGCATATAATGCTCTCTGTGATTTCCACTCTCCCGCCTGTGTTGGGTTGCCCCGTGGCTTTGCAGATCATTTGGTTCTGTTCCACAGACTCTGGGCCGTTAAGCCCGCAGCTGCCTCCCATCACTTTGCTGCACTGTTTGCTTCTCTTGTCACAACTTCTCCTCCTCCGCTCAGCACTCTGGAGCTCGTATGTATTCTCCTTTGTTACCACCAAACTGCAGATGGTTGATTGAGAATTCTGTAGCTGGCTCTGTCTGATTGTCCACAGCAGCTGGCAGAGGAGGTGCTGTAGACAAAGCATTTCACTGCAGATAAACTGAAGAAGAAAACACAGCATGCATCACACATGAGTCCACCCAGTCTGAGACCGACCCAAGGCAGAGTAAAAACGCTTTCGATTTTAAGACAAGACCAAGACCTTCAAAAAGTGGTCTTGAGATCAGGACCGATTTCAAGTACGACAGCAACACTAATATAGTGAAGAAAACTGAGGATGTGACACACTATTAAGAAGCATGGAGATTCATTTTGATTGTATTAGTGCTGTTCAAATGCACAGTTTGAGTCACAGCTAGACGAGGAGTAGAAAAGTTAGAACTTTTTTTTGTGCTTGTCGTTAATGTGCTTGTAATCTTGATGGCATTGGAAATTAAGGAAACCTTTATGTCCCTTTAAGAATATTAAAGATTTGAATGTATTTTTCATCCTTAGCTGATATGAAGAATTATCTCATCAGTGACAAAAGAAACATGATCTGATCCCAACCGTGAGACTTGTGATGTATATTGCACCCCTACATATTTTTATGACATAGAGGTTGAAACAGGATAAGGTGTTAAAATAAAAAAGATATTTCAATTAAGACATTTTTTACCATGTGAGTATTGTATCCTGTTTGTTTAATTAAAAAAAGGATTCTAATTAATAAGCTAATTGAGTCACTACAATGTTTGTCACTCCCCTTTACTTGAATTTAGTACAAAGTGACTTTGGTGACTCTGTGGATAATGAGTGAGTGACTCAGCCTGTCTGTAGTCCTGTGTTCACTCTCATGTCAAAGTGCATTCGTGTATGCATGATTGTGACTTTATGTGTCGCTATGACTTATGTATTCCTGCAACAAAAGTGACAGAACAGTTTTCTTCGTATGTAGCGGTTGATATCCTGATTTTTTTCATGCATTATGCGACTATAGACAGCACAGTCATCTTCAAACAGCTGGGCAGAACCCAGTGCAGCTTGCTGGATAGTGTGTGTATCAATCAATTCCCACCGGATGTAAAAGCTAAGCGAGAGAGAGGTCGGGTTAAAGGGGCTTCCCTAAGGACACAAATGTCATGTGACTATGTGCAGATCATGCTTACTTGAAGGGATAAAGAGCTGGGGAAATATCCGCAGCTGAAATCACTTTTCATTCATGGCTTAGCTTTATTTGACTTGTTTAATTGAAACAGGCCCTGTGATCTCAGAGCAGATCCTCCAACTCACATGCAACACGACAAGGTTTATAAAATGGGGCCTTAAATCAAGCTACTCCCATCTTGTGGTGCTTGTATGTAACTACAAAATACAGTTTGGAACATTAACTCACGATACAATAAAAGTCACAATGATGTCTACAGGGTCTAAAACCTGATGATAGGGCAATGTTCTCACATGTATTCCTTTGAACATTACTAATGCATGTAATTCTTTGGGAAACACTGATGGAGGCCAACTGTATGTTATCAGTTTCACAGAGGCATACACCAAAAGTTAGTTATTCTAGTTCAACAAAAAACCTGTTTTTACATAGGAAGTCTTAAGGAATGCTTTTGGTTAACTTTATTTCACTCCTTAAGAAAATATTGAAACTAAAGTTTTCTTTCCGGATAACCTTGACTCGTGCATCCTTCACTGAGTCAAGTGCAACCAAACTGCAATGGCTGAAACGAATTAACAATATTAAATGAAAAGTGGATGTAAAAGCCCAAAACAAGATAAGGCTTAAGAGCTGCAAAATTATGAAAAATACTACAAAAAGTAAAAACAACTGCGTTAACATCAGGGTTGTAATGGTACACAGTAGTCACGGTTACAGGCCTATTTAACATCAATCATCCTCTAACCAATACTTAAACAAAACGTTACATATTAAGAAAATATCCATTGACAAAAACACACTGAAGTAAATGAAGTGTTTGGATGGGAAAGAAGGATAGTTTGACAACAGAGAGCAAATGCAAAATCACAGACGCTAGGAGGTTTAAAGTGAGCCAGTTGCTTTGGCTTTTTGAATGTGATTTGCAGCCCCTTTCCATCGTCATGTTTGTTTTGGGCTCTACGTTGTTTCTGAATATGCTGCACGTTTTTTCCTTATGTACATCATTCCGGCCTTTGCAGGTTGGTTGCCTTTGTCATTTACCACAAAATTCCCAATTTGGTGAATTCCCCAAATCACCACTAATCCAATAGCAAATTTCAAAGAGGATGAAAGGCACTGTGGCTTTAAGGTCTCTCCAGGTCTCCGTCTAACCATTGGATGACCAGTTGTTTGGCAAAGATTTTTTTAAAAAAAGACTTGTCAGAGAAGATGACCTTGCTCCTATCCTCTTCGCTGTCATCCAATCATTGCTGAGATACATTTGAATGAGTTGCTGTTCATCTCAGTTCGCGAGGAGTCAGTTTGTTCTTGACCTTGTCCTGAAGAACAACTGTATTTAAAATGTAAGTATGGAAACAGCCAGATGCTCACTGCACCCCTCTGCCAGTAAAGCCAGATTTGAATCCCTTTCCCAATAACTTTTCTTCTTTACTGTATTGGAGGGTTTCCAAGCTTAGTTTTGCTATCCAGCTGGCCCATTTGCAAGAAAAAGTGATAACCAAAGCAAGTTTTGTTGTACTTGTCCTCATTAAATGAATTCTGATCCAGGTGATAAAACATTTCAAGATGAGTCTTTCAGTTAAATATTGGAAGGGAACTTAATTCAATTCAGAGATGTACATGCTTTGTTGGCATTCACAAAATATGACGCCCACTAGGAGTTTATCCACAAGCTTTTATTTGTTCAAATCACCCATGTCTCTCTACATTATTCACATGACATATCAATGTATAATCTGATCAAATGTTGGCCTATTTGGTAGCCTGAGGATAAAGCTCTATTTGAAGTTGCTGGAGGTCAGATGATGTAAA